GCCTGGCGCGGGCTGGCGGGCGCCGCGGGAACTGCACGCCGCGAGGACGCTCTGCTGCGCCCCAGCCGACCTGCGCCCCAGCGCCTTCCAGGAGGCCGGGCGGCGGCTTCGCGCTGAGCGCGTCCCTAGCCAAAGGATCGAAAGCAAGCAGTGCCGTCCTCTGGTACGTTCAGCCATGACCTGGCACCCCATGTCCAGCCAAGCTGCAGGTCGCCTTTGGCTCGGATGAGCCAATGGATGAAAGTGATGAGCACCATCTCCCCTCTACACCTTTCACCACCGGCTGCCTGCATACTCCTACCACACCAAAACCAGGAGCGGCGTTCTCCAAGGACCTTTCCTCTAAGAACAAAGCAAACAAAACCTCACTCTTTCGGACCCAAGTTTCTTAGCAGCATAACTGCATTTTGAAGGAAGAGACACAGGCTGAGGTTGGGTATATTGTGTCATTTAATCCTCCCACCCATGACTGCCTCCCTGCCCAGTGAGTTGTAGCAAAAAATTACAGGCAAAGAACAAGCCCACATATTTAATTTGGAACATACAGGACAATTTATTGAAGTCAATCTCAAGCAAATTCTGAAATCAGTGGAATGTCATTAAAAACCCTTCCAAATTAATCCTCACGAAAGCAGAAAGCACATTTGAATTCCAAGTATTTGTCAAATAAAAAAAGGCAACATCTCAGTAAATATACAAAAATTATATGTTCCTACCAGCACACACATCAGTAAGAAGCTTAAATATTACAGGCAGTCCTAAATACACTACAACTAGTCAACAGTAAGCGATCTATATACAGGTTAACCAAGCTTTACACGTTTCACACTATGCAATAAAACATAGGCCAATCAACAAAATTCTCAAAATATTATATATCTTGAAGTCTATGTGGCAACATCAAGTCATTATACAATAATGCCCTAGCGGAACTCCCCCAGGGAAAATAAACACTAATCCCTTAGTGTCAAGAGCTTCTAACCAAGTCACAGAAACTCAAGAGATTGACTTTAGTGAATATTGATGCTCTGTTATTAAAGACTCAAGTCTCAAGTGATTTAGGCAAAATAACGTTTCACAGGATCTACAAAGTTTATTACAGATAAACAAAGTACAGAAATAACCAATCTACAAAGATCATCATAAAGAACACGAAATGAAAACGGAATCTGTGAGTATCTGTGTTTGTTGTGCAGTATCACTCAAATGGGTACAAATGAATTTTTCATATCAATTCCAAATATGCACACACCCTTGTATATAAAAAGATCTTATTAGCCAGTTGTAATAATCTTATTTAGTATCTTGGTTTTTAGTGGCAATATGATTTTCTTAACATAGGTATGCAGCAGGACAGATGAGATAAATATTAGTGACAACAAAATAAAAGTAAGTTTTATCCAGTCCATTTCTAAACTGACAAGAATACCGTATCAATACCTTATATAGGTAATGTGACAGATACTTGAGGGCCAGTTGCACATGTCAAATCTGTTGGCAAGCAGGGAAGGGAACAGTATAAGCTGATGGTGCTTCCTCACTAATTAGCAGATATATAATGTCACATAAGAAAACTAAGAACTGAATAAATGACTGTGACATCTATTTTCCCTTTTTACTTACACATTAATGACCCTTACAGTCTATTGAAGGACAGGCCATTCTCTTCCTTCTCCCCCTTCATACATATGCACCACAAGCATCCAAACTTGTCACTTACGCAATGGACTGCCAAAAAAAAAAAAGGAATGGATTTTGAAAGAAATGGGTTACAGCATTTTAGGAGTGTAACATAAGTGCAATTTTGTTTTTCTCCCCCTACATAGACATCTACTAAAAGGAAAGATGAAGTGCTTAGGGACAGGACTGACAAAGTAAAGAACATATTTAGGAAATATTTGTAAAAATGCTGCTGGTATCTCATGCAGGAGTCTCTTTCTCAAATGGGCACAAGAAATCTGAGTTATCTACTGTGAACTCTCCCATTTGCAGAACTTCACCTTTAATCCAAGTTAGAGGATAAGAGACTAAGCTAGTTATTTTCAAAACAGTATACAAAACAATGCTTTCTACTGCATAAATTTAAAAAGAAGCTGTAAAATAAGGAGAATCTGAAGTTTCAAGTACTTAAAAAACCTGAATTCAATGAGGCAGAGGTCTCAGTGTTAAAGTGACTACTTCGTACCTGTGGTAAACACCGTCATTCCCTTCCCCTCCCCGATTATAACCCCCTTCTCCGGGTACCCCACCCCAGGTAAAAGTCAGTGAGATTTCAGTATATACAAGTTTCCGACTTTTCAGTCTTTGTTAATTTATTGCAAAGCTGTCTAATTATATCTATTCCCTAGTCCATCTGAAAACGGAAGCAAGTTCTACTTCTGTTTGTTTACAAATAACCAGAAACCAATTCTAGGTGACTCTAGCTGAGGAAATTATTCCATGTGACCACTTCACGTCTGCACCAACTCGGACAGTGGGGAGTGGCTAGATGCATCAACCTTGTAAAAAGTAATTCAAGTCTAGCCTGCACTTCCCAGAAACACAGCCACTTCCCAACGTCATTGTAGCTCACACTACAGGAGCACATCAAATGTAAGCTTCCCCAGCTGTAAGGACTCCAAGGTAACCTGTTTTCTTCTCCTGCTAGAAGACGTGGCATGTGGCAGCTAACACCTTGACTTGAAGGTGAATGCCAAAGGAGGAGCTTTGCATTTAAAAGTGAAATGAAAGACAAGCAACAAGTTCTGGGCAGTTCAAAGATTACGTTCTGTATGAATGGCCTGCTGCCAAACTGTAGGTCTGGGTTTGACCTATTGGAGCACAGTAAGCTACTCAAAAAGGAAACTCCACTTCATGAACCAGGAAAATTGTCCAACAGCCTGGCCCACCTGAGAGTCCTTTACATGATAAGATACTCAATATCTCAATTCCACAAACATTATTTACAGGCGTGTTTCTGAATACTATGCAGAAATGACAGAAGGGAGCTGGGAGCAGCCCCATCCCCATGATTTTGGTTTTCAGGTATGTTCCCGACTTGAACATACAGAAATCTCTGAGTTTCAATGATTCTAAAACTCAGCTTATTCTATAGTTTAGGCCAGATCATTTTTAGGAATTAAGACAGAATGGAAACAAAAATGAAAATAAAGCCCACATCACTCCTATTTCTATCTGATCAGAATTTAAGAAAGTGAATCACTGCCTCTAGCTGCTTCAGCATTCTAGGAGGGAAGGGCCCATCCCCCCTCTCTTCCTAGCCAGCCACAAGCAGCTCTTCCGATTCCTCATATGGTGTGGCCCAGCCCCTCCCTCAATGCACAGCATCTGTAAAGGTTTCCCAGGATTTCACCTTCAGCTCTTACTGATCCAATTTCTGAAGTTTTTATGCTGATTATAAAAAATCTTATGTTCACTTCTTTCTTTCTTCAATTAATTGTATGAGGTTTAAAAAGCCCATCATTTTCCCATACTGCTTTACATTATTTCACTTTTGAGTAAGAATAAAAACCAACCATTTGCATTCTGACCACATAACGATTTAAAAGTTAATTAATACCAACTTTAGACTATGAGTGAGCAATACATCTTTTGGAATATTTCACTGGCATGGCACAGGAGAGCACAGTGCATGTATACTTATGCACACATAAAAGGACAGGTTTTGTTCTTTCTACTTCCATAATTGGCAACTTTAAAATATGTAAAAAGTTCATTCAACATTGACACTATGGAGGCGTTAAGAGTACTCCTTGGCACTGCATGACTAAAACCACTTTTTAGACCATTAAAGAACACTCATGTATGGTTAGCTATTTTGTTTTCTACTTTGATTTCTGAAATTGCTAAACAATCCTATTAATCGTCCAAAAAAAAAAAAAGGATTAAAAAAAAAAAAACTCAGCAGAACTCTGTTATAAAGTATAAAAACAAAATGTGACACAATGAAGAAGTTGCATAAAAATACTTAAACCTAAGGTATCTGTAGTATATAAGATGTACCCTGGCTTACCATATAAAAGTCATCAGATATTAAATAGCACTAAGTCTAAAACAAAGCAAGGAGATAAGATTTCATGGATTTCATGTTGGATATTGTTTCAACAAGAGATGCATTTGGAATACTAAAGGAAATCCTTATGTAAGTTAAAAAACCCAAATAGTTATCATATATATTTATAAAATAAAATTTTAGTATGATAAAACCTAGATTTTCTTAAATTATTTTTTAAAAGGACATCAAACTATATAATTGCTCAAGAGCAAAGTTTAGTGTTTTGGTGAGCTGTATTTCATGTTACTTGTAGCAATTATATTTGGTGACCTGTATAGCATTTTTCATTTTGCTCTTACTTTTGGGACCATATCTAATCAACAGAATTATTGGAAGCCCAACAAGTCACCTCAGAATTAATTGCTGGAATCAGGCAAATGGCAGTTTAGGAGCTTAAGTAAAATAATTGTAGTGTTCTTTTTTTTACAAGAGAAAAAAACCCAGTATAATTGCACATTTACATACCAAAAAAAGAGGCACAAACAGCTTTTTTCCCTCTTCTTTCTAGAGAAGAGCTCTAAATCGGTAAGAAAATGGAACGCGCATAATACAATGGAAGGAATGTGGTAGAGCTTCCACTCTCCTTCATAAGGTTATTAGGTACTTCTTGAGGGAAAATAAATGCTACCAGGTACCAGCACTTGAAAGCAGTCAAAATTCACAGAGAAGTTAACGTTCATTCAAGCTAACCCTAGACTTCTACTTAGTACAGTGTTACAACAATGTCTGACATTACTAATTATTTCATACAAGGAATACTGGAATATACATATTCCTAAGCATTAAAAGCAAGTGAGTTTGTGAGCAGACATCTTGGTATACTCGCATCTGTAAGATTCAAGCATCACAGTCAACCATTTTTGCTAACACTGACTTTCTTGGGAGTTTTCTCCAAGTGTTTCCTAAGATGAAGTGTGTTTGTGTGGTTCTTGGGTACCCTGTAAAGGTAGATGTTCTCCTTACTCAATGGAAACAATTTTAAGTATTGGGTAACACTAAATAGAAACTGTTTACATATACTTGGATGATGCCCTTACTGCTTTCACCTCCAAAATTAGTAACCCAACCAAAAAGATCTATTCAAGTACAATTCAAATTCGTTTATGTAGTTTCACCAGGAAACAAGACTGAATGGTTAGTTGACAAAGGAAAAATTTGATTAGGAGAGGGAAACAGAGACAAAAAATAAAATGCCCATAATTCTCTCCAAGTCAGACTAGGGTCTACATAAAATTGGACAGAAAATGATTCTTATATGATCCAACTTTTGGTTTGCGCCTTTAATCTCCCTTCAGCCGCCTTTATCAGTGTGTCAGGGTAATAGGAGTGACCATTCTAACTATGCATTCACATCCACATAAACGCACTTCATCAAAAAACCCCAATGTCAATGGAAAACATTTTTAAAAAATCAGTGAGCACATCCATTCCTTTTTTCCTCCAAAACAAACCAAAAAACGCATTATATATCTTTTCAGGTAAAGTTACCATGTCACAAAGCCCACCTAGTTTAAGACCACAGAGGTAAAATCCATCGAGGCATTTGTTTTCTAGAGGCCAGATTTAAAACTTCCATAGAGCCCTTCCCTAAGACTATGAAAAACATTTTGAAGGGAAAGAGAAGTTAGCCTAACCTACTGCTCAGTAAAGAGGTATATAAAGATTATCTTACCCTTTTCTAGAGGGCTTTCTCCAATTCCTACTTAAAACACACACACATACATACACTTGATTAGACTATTTGAATTACACTTCTCAAATTCCTAAAAATGAAAATAAATAAAGGAATGATGGCTACTTTTGCTTTATACAACCAAGTAACACATCTTAGACTTTACATTTATCTCATTAACAAAACTTTCTTTTTTCTTTGTTCCTATTTTAAAAGCAAAGCCATTTCTTTTCCAGCTGCAAAGGCATTGAAGCACAATAAAAGGCAAGAAGAGACCAAGGGAATTGAACCCGCCACAAAAGAATCCCTAAACCAACAAAACAACAGAAAAACCAGACACTAACTGCTTCTGCCTGCATGAACTGGTTTCCCATTTTTGCTTTAATAAGGCAGTTCCGATGGCAAAGGCTGTATGCACTGTAGCAGTCTCTTCTTTTTGAATGCTATTTGCTTTTTCTTTTTTCTCATTTTAATAGAAAGGAGGGAACGCCATCATTTATTCTTTTACTTCTTCTCCACGATCTTGTGATTCCCATTTACATTTTATCTTGCTCCAGTATTCTGATGACACAGGAGACACGGGGTCATGTTCAGAGCAGCAGAGGCGACCTTCCAGTGCGGAGGGAACCAGAGCTCCCTTTTCATGATCTTTACAAAACGAATGTGGACAGAACTCACAGAAAGAAACAGCTGCAGTGCCGCACTCATTGCACTGATGCCACGGGCACTCCCACTTCCCTAGCAAAGGGTGGGAGGGAGAAGGAAAAGCACCTGAGTTAGTGACTGACTTAATTACCCATGAAAAACCCAAATTCCCGCCTTCTTCTCTGATTGGACACAGAATTCAACTAAGTTCAACTCTAAATTTCAGCCACAGAAGTGGGTGTACTATTTAGTATGGATGTGAGCTACAGGCCAAACCCAATGCCGTAGGTGCCAACTATCCCGCTACAGTAATAGTATATAAGAAAGAAACCAACCCCTGCTGGCCCATGGGGTATCCCAAGTGTGTAAGGAGACAGAATTTTTCACTAGTATAATTTTTGTTTGCTATTATTTGTTCTATCCAATGGTTCCTATTCCATGGCTCTTCTAAGGAGAGTGGAATATATTCTGAGTTCCACGTAGTTGGCAAAGACACAATTAGAGAAAGGGACCTGAAGGTCCAACTTACCATATGGTGGCTGAGTCAGGTTAAGGCATAGGAGGTGGTATGCTTTGGGACAGTCTTTTTTGTCACACATGACCAACTCTCCACTATCTCCACACTGAAAACAGTAATCTTCATGCATTTGCTTTGGTTCTGTTTTGATTTTTCGTCTCTTCTGCTTTAACTTAGCATTTTTTGCCTTTTCTTCAGCTGTTGACACACATGCCGACTGATAGGGAAGACAGGATCACAGTTTTAGAGATCACACATGAAGCTCAACACAGAAAGGAAAACCCTAGAAGCTCACATTCATTTAAATCTATGTTGTATGGCTACTTAAAAACACCAGGAAGACATATCTTGTAACAATATTATCACAAAAATAAGGTTTTGTTTTCACTGGCTTTTGAATAGCATGCTCTTTTCAAACCGCAAAGGTGGTGGTAAATCCAGGGAACTTTAGTTTCGACAACCTAAAAATTGTTTTCACTGAGACATAATTCACAGACCACAAAATTCACCATGTTAAAGTATATAATTAAATGGTTTTTAGTGTATCGTAAAAAAAAGTTTTAAGTTACTTTTTATTCATTTCAAATTCAATAAGAAATACAACTACATTTTCAGAACCTAATGGACTTTTACTAAATAGGCCTCCTTGGAAAGTCAGTCTAAATACTTGGAAAACGCAACTGATGACCTGCAAACTAAACCAGGTGCCCACTTGCCCGCACTTTCCTGAGATGGTCACCATAAACTTCAGCAGCCCCACTCCTTATCTCCTGCTGGCTTGCGGTGCTCACTGCACAACTAACCTTTGGTCGCACTCCTAGAAAACCACTGCAGTTATCTGCCCCACAGTGACATTCCGTTCTGCCGTTGCCCAGACAATCCAAGTTATAATTAAATGTTAACTCCATCCCTAAAACATGAGAAATAATTATTCATACTTAAATCATGGAGAGGAAAAATGCTGTCACAGACACACGCTCATAATGAAAACAGAGACATAATTCTGGCATGAAGACTTTTCCCTTCCCTATGTTTCATCTCATTGAAAACATGATGGCAAAAAAAGAAAAAAAAGAGCCAGACTTGGTGGCTCAGTCTGTAATCCCGCACCTTTGGGAGGTTGAAGTGAGTGGATTGCCTGAGCCCGCGGGTTCGAGACTCGCCTGGATAGGCGAGACCTCACCTCTACAATAAATAAAAAAATTAGCCGGGTGTGGTAGCGCGTGCCTGTAATTCCAGCTACTCGGAAGGCTGAGGCGGAAGGATCGCCGGAGCCCAGCAGGTCGAGGCTGCAGTGGCCGGGGAGCGGCCACTGCACTCCAGTCTGGGCGACAGAGTGAGACTCCAACTCTAAATAAATAAATAAAAAGAAAAGAAAAAAAGGGAGGAAAAGTGAAGGAAAATATCCCCACCCACCAACAATTATAGCAACACTACATATCTTTTTTTTTATTATTATTTTTGAGTTGAAGTCTCATTCTGCAGCCCAGGCTGCAGTAGAGTGGCATGCTCATGGCCACCACAGCCTCGACCTGCTGGGCTCAGGCAATCCTTCCGCTTCAGCCTTCCAAATAGCTGGAACTATGGGTGTGTGCTACCATGTCTAGCTTATTTTTGCATTTATTGTAGAGACGAGGCCTCACCAAGTTGCCCAGGCTGGTCTCAAACCCCTGAGTTTGGGCAATCCTCTCACCTCGGCCTTCCAAAGTGCTGGGATTGCAGGCTTGAGCCACCACACCCAGCCAACACTACATATCTTACAAAGAAGTCATGACCTTTTCACAGAAGTGCTCAAGAACCATATAGCAGGGACTAGGAATCTGCAATCTATGCTCTAGAAATCAGAATCTAGCCCAGTTCTCTTTCTAAAGCTCACTCACAAGAATTTTTAAGTAAACAATGACCATGGAATTCTGACAATACTATTTCTAGTAATTAACGCCTTATATTACGATCAAATAAAAGTTCCAAATAAGAGTTTACTACATACACCAAAGATCCAAGGATTCAAACTAGGGTCTCCTAAGATTTCTTGTAGGTGGCCTTAAATAGTCTATAATGAGTTCTAGAAACATAGTTTTTAAATCTGTTTTAACCACAGCATTTTTCTATTTTCTACAAACCTAACATAGGAAAAACTAATTTTTATTGTTAAGATGCTGGATGGGAGCCAGGCTTGGTGGCTTAGCATGTAATCCTGTGCTTTGAGAGGCTGAGGTAAGTGGACTGCCTGAGCTTGCAGGTTCGAGACCCGCCTAGGCAACTTGGCAAGACCTTATCTCTACAATAAAACAAAAAAATCTGCCAGGTGTGGTAGCGCGCACATGTAGTTCCAGCTACTAGGAAGGCTGAGGTGGAAGGATTGCCAGAGCCCAGCGGGTCGAGGCTGCAGTGGCCAGAAGCGGCCACTGTACTCCAGTCTGGGTGACAGAGTGAGACTCCAACAAAAAAAAAAAAAAAAAAAAAAAAAAAGATGCTGGATGGATGAGGAAAAACAAAAACAATAGCTTGGGCTTCAGAGGCTTTTATGAACAGAGTGAACTTTCAAAGAAAAAATAAAGACACAAACAAGGAACCGTTGATATTAACACAAGATAATTATTTTAAATATGTTTTAAAAGAAAACAACAGCTAAAATATCTGATTACACTGTACAGACAGTAACAATTTGGAGAATTAATTCAGTAAGATTATGGATACACCGTATCTTCTCTTCCATAAAGGATACAGATTTTTTACCTTTTATTGGCAGATAACATTCACTTCTAAATATAACATACGTACATATGTACATACATACACACATCTATCTGGTTGCGGTCTCACTCTGCCACGGGAGTGCAGTGGCACAATCACGGCTCACCAATAACCTTGACCTCCCGGGCTCAGGCAATCCTTCTGCCTCAGCCTCCTGCGTAGCTGAGACTACAAGTATGTGCCACCACAACAGGCTAATTTTTAAATATTTTTGTAGAGAATGAGGTCTTGCTATGCTGCCCAAGCTGGTCTCGAGCTCCTGAGCAATCCAAGCAATCCCCCTGCCTTGGACTGCCAAAGAGCTGAAATTACAAGCATGAACTACCACAGCAGGCCTCGGCATTGTCTTATTTGAATAAGCATGTGGGCATCAAGCCTTGGGGAACAATGTCCTGCCTCCAAAGGTAATTCTTTCTTCCGAGAGAGGATCATGGGAAGCAAGCTGCTTTTTTACCTGCAGGAATATCACAAAGAGCAAAAAGTCCAACTCGAACATCTCCATTTACTGTCCACTTTTGTGTTTCACAGTTTGGATTACAACTGTGGTTCATAAAGCGAGAGTAATTTCCTTTTGGGCCAGCATCGATTATACGGTCCTTCAGAAAGAAAAGAGAAGTATAATTTATATAAAGTAAGTATACGTACGTCTCACTTAGAAATATCCTACTCAGTCAAAGGCTACAAGGAAGCAGCATTTTGCTACCAGGTGATGTTTGACAACTGACAACTCTGAAAATGTGACACTTCTTGGGCAATTCATGAAGTTCTCTTCTTTATTTGATTACTTTCAAGTTAAAGCAATTAGGATAAGGTAGAATTTACTTTCTTTTTAAGTTTGCTCCTCGTAAAAAGTAGACCATAGAATAACATTACTTAGATTAATGGACTAGAGATTTTAGGAATAGTATTTTCTAATTAGAAAGCTCAAAGTTCAGATAACAACTGTGTTTTGCTGTCAGCCCTCTTTTCCTGCTCTAAGCAGGAAACAAGAACTAGTATTGGAGGAGACAGATGAGGGCCTAACATCTAGATCTACAAGGATTCTAGATATATGGCAAGTACTTTTTCTCGTTCTATGTGCTCTCTCCCACTCTCTTGATGGTTTCTTTTGCTTTGCAGAAGCTTTTCAGTTTCAGGAGTTCCTACTTGTCTATCTTATCATTCACTTTTGGGGATTTAATCAATAATTGGTTGCCTACTCCAATGTGCATAAGAGTGTTTCCTGCGTTTTCTTCTAGGATTTTGTGTGTGTGTGAGTCAGAGTCTCACTCTGTACCCAGGCTGGAGTGCGGTGGCACGCTCACGGCCACTGCAAGCCTCAACCTGCTAGGCTCAGGAGATCCTTCTGCCTCAGCCTTCCCAGTAGCTGGAACTACAGGCACGCACCATGTCTGGCTACTTTTTAAAATTTACTCAAGGGATGAGGTCTTAGCTGGGCTTGGTGGCTCAGCCTGTAATCCCGCGCCTTTGGGAGGCTGAGGTGAGTGGATTGCCTGAGCCCGCGGGTTCAAGACCCACCTGGGCAGTGAGACCTCATCTCTACAAG